ATGAACTAAGTAGTGTTCTAGTAGAATTAGGCAGCTGAGGATCTTAGATTGCACATCCGAGGTGGTTGCCATCATTTTCACGGTGGCAAAAGCTATAACGACAGACCATTTTGGCCTGGCGTCCTCGTAAACAAACTGTAGCTTGGATATAGTCTTGAGATTACACCTGTAAAAAGCAGGATTATTTCTTGGAACCACCACTTTCCATCCAGTCTTCATCAGTTGATGGAAGGATTGCAGTGCCATATCTGCTCACTGCCCCAAAGCTACTCAGCATTGGATCCCTAGGACCATTTGTTCAACTTGCCATCTGAAAGAACTCGAGCATTCTTATAAAGTCATACATAGAAATATTCAGCCTGATGATTTGAACCAAAGACGAATATACAACACGGGGCTTCTATAAGCTATTCAATTGTTGAACAATGACAAGCCAAACGAAATTAGCTCCCATTGAACCCAATAGACACAGCATTACATACCTCACGCTTATTCAGATACTGTAATAATAGAAAAAAGAAGCCGAGTTCTACCCAACACAATAGGAACGCGGATGGGAGGGATGACGCCTGCCCTAGGGATCAAAGACATAAGCCAGCTAGTTGGATGTCTGTACAAGTCAAATTCCAAACCCCAAAATCGTGGGTATAGGCGAACATGTCTTCCGATGATCGAAGAGGTGGCTACCTGGCTGCTTAGGTGAACGAGAGGAATGGCCGGCAGAAACGTGCTATATGGATGACTAGATACCGTTACGTGGGCGCAGGTAAACGCAGAGAGGCAACAACGGCCAAGACACTGCCCACATTCACACAAGTCAAACCCACCGCGGAACGAGCAGTCGGAGCAGCCGCCAAGCCGAGAACACTGTCAGGTGGTGATCGATCTGACTGAGATCACGGGTAGATCGCAGTCCAATCTTACGGATCGCATTGATTGCATTCGTGAGTGCTTCTGCTAAGGCACTCTTGGCACTCTATTGATGAGAATCACTGGATTGTTCCAGTTGGAATGATGACCGTCGACGATCCCAAGCCTAACAGGTCGAGACAAGGGAGAAATGTGTGCTCATCTCCCCTCAGACCCTGACTTAACCATTCGTGTGGCCAACGTCTGGTAAATTTGGTCAGCTGAGCGGCGATGGTACAATCTTCTCACTGCCGTTTTCGTTGGGGATGGGGGTCATACTGGGGAGATCCCCTGGGGCATCGGGCTCCCGAGGCTTCGGCACCCATCTGAACACAGATTCATCCTAATTACCTCTAGGAATGCACTCGGCCAAAGCCCAGGGTGGCTTGTCATGTTTTCCCGGAATCGTGAATAGAGAATGAAAACGGACTCAGTCATTGTCAGAAGAAAAGGAGTACTTAGCCAAACTCAAGGCCACATTATTACCCCCCAGCCGTCCCCTAGCCTCCTGCTCTTCAGCAAGCCACTTCTCCCAAAACAGCAGAAAAGCCATAAGATGCGTTTCCAGATCCTCACACTGGCCTCGGCCCTGTTGACTGCAGCCTCGCCTGTGGCCCAGGTCACTGCTGATCCTGTCTCGGCCCTACCAAGCCCCCCAGACATCTACTCGGCCGGCAACATCGAGCAGCGAGTCGACTCGGTGGTAACAGCTGCCGGCCAGACACTTGCCAAAGTGCAGCAGCTCAGGAGCGGGACAAACATCCAGTTAATTGGGCCGGTAGGCACAGATTCAGCCTGAGCACCTGCCTGGAGCCTTGATGGAACTGACCAACACCCCACGTAGGCGATTGTCGAGCACTTCGGCAAGCTCTCTGAGAAAAACGCCGCTGGGTCGGTCATCTTCAACATCATCCCCCAATACGACTACTCTACCGAACAGCAGCAGAAGATATGCGCCTCCTACGAGCAGGTAAGTAGGCAAACAGCGTGATGCCCATTAGGGAGCGGCGTGTACTGATGTAGCTCATCGGCCTCTCTAGCTCCTCACACTCGAGTACGAGATCGTCAAGGCCTTCTTCGACCATGCAAAACTCACCACGGGCACGAACTTCCAGGGACATCTGCATGCTCAGTTGAGAGTATTCCAGGGAAGCATCGACAAGTACAACAAGGGCCTCGCCAAGCAGCTTCCCGTCTGCGCGGACGACATACGAAACGAGTACATCAAGCTGGCGGCGACCACCCAGCTGGCCATTTCCCTCATCTAGGCCCGGAGGGGGGAATGATGTGAGTCATCTGCACGGTTTGCTGGATGAAGGGATGAGTGTCTGGCCCATACACGAAAGGGGAAGTGAGTTGCCAGCAGGGTCTGTAATTTTCGCGGGGGAGCCGAGCCTTCGGGTCATAGTGTAATGGCTAGGGGGAGATTTCTATTCTGTATGTCGATAAATTATTTCATAAATATAAGTTAATGTTAATTGTAGTGTTTTTTTATGCATCGTATCCTGCCGTTGTCGACTCACATTTTGTCTCGCTTCAGGCACGTCATATCATTGTCACGCCTTTGCCGCACTTCATGAGGGTCATGCTAATGTTCCACTCACATGGACGTCTTAGATATATTCACAGCCGACTCAAAGCCTTGTGGCCGTGTGAAAAGCTGAACTTCTATGTGCTGACCGTGTTGCGATGTTGGGAATAGTATAAATTTGTGGATTGCTTGATGTTTTGGTATCCCCCCTTTTTCCAACAGCTGTTGCATGACCTGCATAGCTCTCTATTAATGCTAAAATCTACTGCAAAATATCTACCGTAGGCAATCTGGTTTGCAGAAGATATGGAATGTGCGGCGGCTCTTGGAAGGGAGATGAATTTGAGTACGTGTCTCGGCTATCTACCTGAGACACGACGGGGCCGATGTTTATCGGACGACCGACACCTTCATTCAAGATGCTTATTGTAACAAGAGGCTAGAATGACGATGATGATAAGTCGTTCATCTCGCCTCATGCCTCGTCTACACATGATCCGTGATTCGGGCGGCGCCAACAACACGACTGGTGGCACTTTCTAGCTCCGCTGCAGCATGAGAGCGTTGGTATTTAAGAGGCGTGAGATCCAAGAAAGTGTCCTCTCTGCTCTTGCTGGAGAGGGAGCATTATCTAGTGTCAATCAAATGAGTGGCTAGGCCAGCCGTGATGAACACGAGCCTCAGTCGTGCCTCGTATGTGCGCATAAAGAACACTTATGAGAGGGTCAAGGAGGTAAATGCGACGGCTCTGACGGGAGTCAAACACGGACTGGGCAAAGTCACAGCCCCGAGCGGGAGTTGAGGGACCTCCATGGCCGGGTTTCAATCAACGACATCATCGTACCTAGTTTTGGTCGGCGTCGAAGGTGCGTTTTGTATTGTTTGAACGTGCTATGCCCCTTGACTCAACATGGCGGGCGCATTGTCGGGAATTTGGGGGAAATGTCGCCAATATCATACCCTTCTGTCAGCTACCTTTCCGTCGCTGGGAGCTGGAACAGGCGCTGATCGCAGCTGAGCCTTGAGATTAAAGTGAATCAAGTGAAGAAGCATCAGCCACCGCCTCGCCCTGGCAATTGATTTTTCGGCCTGTGCGTGAAGGTTGCCAAAGCTGCAGAGCACACAGTGGCCATTCCGCCTACAGGCTCCCGTAGTCCCTGGCGTTTCAGCGGCTTTGAGATGCTACAGGCCCGGAGGGTTCGATTGGTGCGGCATCAATCCATTCCTCAACCTGCAGCCTGCAATACCCGTCGTCTGTTATGCTCGTGCCTAGACCAACCCCAATGAACATGGCCGATTCCAGCCACCGTCTTCCCAAAGAGGGTGCTGTCAGTGCCATTGAGCATTGGAGGGCGTGTGTAATATTGACGCTTCGGCTGACCGGTGCCCAGTCTTGCGCATACACGTCACCCCTTCTGCCGTGTCTCGCCCCACGAGAGGATGGCATTCGAGCCCTGTTTTCGTACCTGGCTGTCTTATTGTTGTCTGTCAGCGAGGTGACGCCGAATGGAACATCCATCGAGGGACCAGCTGGCCTGGAATCGAGCTGGTTTGAGGCCCTCCGCACCCACGACGCCGTTGTGATGATTGGGGATCCATGAGAAACATGGAAATTCTCAGTCCACCACGTCAACTCTGCTCTGATTCGTGCCAACGGCTGCATGGCATAAATCAGCTTGTAGTGTGGCTGCCGGAATCCACTCTTCCACTTCCCCGTGGGCTTTGGCGGTCGCGTGGTTTATGCGAGCTCGGTTGAGACGCTCGATTGATTGACAGCGGATGCTTGGCTTGGCTTTGAAACGCTGGTGGTGAACACATCGTCTAGTCCACATCCGACCGCCTGGGCCGTAGATTGACGCATGCGTCGCTGATCCTGATCGTGCCCAAGGGTTTGTGGCTAGCTGATCCAAATCATGCATTTGCTGGAATATTGCCAACTGCCGTCCGTCTGCCTGCTTGTCGGTTAAGATTGGTTGTCGCTCGGCCCTTGGGCACTGATGCTTTCCGCCTCCTCCCGCTGCTCTTCTCCTTGACCCCTGCTGGACTATTTACTGTTGTATTGAGACTGGATGTGCTTTGGCTCACATCCCGACCGCATGATGATGATCCACCTCAAGCCGTCGCCGGATGCAGCGAGTTTCCAATTCTGCTACATGCAGCATCGCACACGTAGCGCATGGTCAATGGATATTTCTGGGCCGATCCAGCCGGGAGCATGCTTGTAAAGTTGCCGATGCGGTTTGCTTGCAGCATTGTGTCCCGAGTCATGGCCATCCTTCCGCTTTGCCACTGAAGTATGCAGATCTCCTGTCGGGGCTCCTCCAACTCTTCTTGATGGATGCATATTATTGCATGGCTCTCTTTAAGATGTTCATGTTCCCGTTCCCGGCCCTGCTTTGACCCTTTCTAGCCCGTCTAATAAAATCTCTTTCTTATTAACGATGGGGCGGGACGAGGAGATCCTGGTTTTTGTTTGACTTGATTTGGTGAACCATATCAGCACAGGATTATTTCCATTCGTTCCTTCATTTGCTTCACCGATATACACAGCTCTTCCATGATGGCGGTGCCGGATAATACCCTCGTCATCTATGTGGTGACTGCCACGACATTCCTGCTGGCGACAATCCTCATTGTGCTGCGACTGGTAGCTCGATATGTGACGAAGATTGAGACCTGGTGGGACGACTGGTTCGCCCTCCTTGCATTTGTAATCACTCCCTTCTCTTCTCAATCGCCACATCCCGTCGACAAACCAACTAACATGTACTGTGATAGCTGTGCGCATTTGGATTTTCAGGTGTGGTTATCGAATGGACTGTGGGCGCAGGCCTGGGCCGGCCTCTCGAGGTCATCAACATCAGCAGGGAGGACGCCTACTACCAGTCACGGATGCTTCTCTGGATCGGCGAGATCATCTACGCCTTTGCCCTGACATTTTCAAAGCTCTCCGTCCTTAGCTTCTACTGGCGGCTGTTTAGCACCTCAAGTATCCGCATCCCCATCCAGATCCTGACCGGCGCCTCGATCGTCTGGCTCGTCATCCGTACTCCCATGGCCATCTTTCACTGCGTCCCGGTGCACGCTTTCTGGGACTTGACGGTGGATAACAAAGTGTGCAATATCGACGACTCGAAATTTTTCTTCGGCACGGTGCTGGTTCACCTAATCATCGATGTCTTGATCCTTGCGCTGCCTGTCGTTCAGGTGAAGAATCTCCGTCTGCGATTGGGACAGAAGATTGCTGTGATTGGCCTCTTCATGTTCGGAATCTTGTGAGTGATATTTCCAATGTGCCGCTGCTATTCACCTCTGACTTACCAATCATTGCTTGTAGGGTCTGCGTTGCTTCAATTGGCGTCTTGGTTGAGTCGTCCAAATTTGATCCCAACTCCCCCGAGATGCCTTTGGAAATCTCCCCCATCATCATATGGGCTACGATGGAAGTTAACCTTGCGATCATTTCCAGTATGTAGTAACCCCCCCTCTCAAATTTCAACGCGAACAGAGATACTGACCATGCTCCTCTGCTTCAGCATCCCTCCCTCTCATGCGACCCATATTCCGCCGAATGCTCCCCGACTCTGTCCTAGGCTCCGACTCCCGAAGCAGCGCAATCACCAGGTCCGACACAGGCAGCCTCGCCGGCTTCAGGCCGAACAAGTTTAACAACATGCACGAGATGGACGACGCATGCTCCTTCAAGAACTTCCCCGACATCGAGACAGGTTCGATAAGCTCGGACGGGTTTGGCCGGACGAGAGGCTACACTGGCCCGCAGACGTTCAGCTCCGTGAGGGCTGAGGATGGGCAGCGGCTGCATCGTGACTTCAAGGGGATCCATGTAAAGAATGAGACGAGGGTATCGTATGAGCCGATGAATTAGTGCTTGGCGTTTGTTTCTTTGCTTGCTCTTGTTCTGAGTAGTCATTAACCTAGCGACTTTTGTTTGCAGTACAGCGTGGTAACTCGGCCGCCGATGAGCGTGCACAGCTGGTTGCACCTGCCGCTTCTCAGGACTTTCTCACCTGGTGACTTTCTTCAAACGATCCGCGTTCATCCACCTCCTGCTGCTCACTCTTCTCTCCGCAACACAAGAACATTTGCGCAACTGACTACCAACCTTGTTTTCCTCCTCACCATTGACCGGGTATCGCCCACTCTCGCCATTCAAAGGATGCCAGCCCCCATTGCGTCCAAGGTGCCACGCCAGGCTCCCGCACTCTATAACCGGAGAAGGGATGGATGCGACTGGAAAGCATGCCAGATTTGGTCGAGTGGTTGGACACCGTACAATATCAGCCAATGGGGCCAAGATTTTGTATGCCCAAATCTCCATGTTCGTACAAACCCCTTGTCAGCTTGGGCATTTGATTCCTGGGGGTTTGTCACCGCAGTTGAGAATGCAAAGTGGCAGCCGGCATGTTATTGGATCGATGAGAAATCCAAGGGCTGGCAAAAGTCTCTTCCGTGGATGCTCAGCTGGGAGCGCTTCCAATTCTTCATTAAAGAAGCTCGAGGAGGGAGCTTCCCGGAAGATCTCGTGCTCCGCTTGCCCTGCGTGGAAGACCCATTGAAGGCCAGCACAGAATTTGACTGGCGTATGTCTATGGCTGCAGCAGAATTTTTCGTTGCAAATGACCACCGAATGTGGTGTGGGCAACAGCCAGCAACCATAGTGGTATGCAGAGCCAAGGAGTTTCGCACGCTTGTTGATCAGGGCTGGGAAGTTCTCATGCGCAAGTTGAAGGAGGGAAAAATCGGAGATGCCAACGGGGAGGCACAATCCGAAGAATCAGACAGTACCGCAGATTCAAATGTGGCGGAAGGACATGACCTCCAAGCCAAAGACAGAAATTCAAGCACGGAAGAAGTCGCAGACGCCACGGCGGGAGACAGTGGTGATAATGCAGCTACTGAGACTACCACCACAACTACGACCACCGTCGACAACTCGACGACTACGACGACCGTTGCCACAGTCGTCGCTGGTGATACTACGATGACTACCACGATAATCACCGCAACCGTCGGTGGTGATACTACTACAACGACCAGTATTGCAACAACCTCAAAGAAACGGAAGAACATAACTCAAGCGCAGTCTCGGGATGGGGGAAACAACAAGAGGCCCAGAGGGAGCACAGCGCAGGCTGAACAAAACACAGCTACTATCGACTTGGAACAAGAGAAGTGAATAGTAGGGCTGTGATGTGTGAGAATATACCCGCGACAAGCCGACTGGTTCTTGGAGGGTTCCTGGCCTGTGGATGAACTGATGATGTTGCACTCAGACGTTGGTCTGCGCCTAAGACACGACACACATTCCTTGCAATAAGTGATGGATCATCAATGGTCTGATTTTGGCAGGGAGGGTTAAGAACGGGATTCTAGTAGTAGCACGCGAATGCACGGCTTGACCTCAAGAGCCATTTAATATATTCGAATTTCTCATCAATCATTGACTGCCCGTACATGCAGTTAGGAAGATATAATATGTGCATTCCTGTCTGGCCGAGATCTGACTAATTCAAGCCTGCGCCAGTTTGAGAGAGTTCTTTCGTCATCGTGTCTTACGGCAGCGAAATGACCGTTTTCCCGGCCGTAATCTGACGCCTGGTCTGGCGCATCTTCCCCATGAGAAGAACACCATCCAGATCCTCGTCGCCCAATTAAACTCTTGACAATTAGTGACCACCATTTTCATCGTTATCCGGGGCGTCGCGTGCGGCTCCTGGTTGATGTGCGCAGATCAGTCGCTGGTGGGTCGATCCTCCGAAGGATCCGGGGCGCAGTCTCAAAAACGGCCAGGAAAAGATTTAATCACTCTGGCAAGGAGCTGGCCATCGACCCTTCACTCTCCGATGGTGCCAGCGAGTGCGGGGGCGCATCGAGCAATCTAATTTCATCTTCCATCATCAAACGACCAGACCAAAATGGAACTCCGGGAGCTGATGGAGGTTTTCTCCGCCGGGGTAATGAAACGGCATGGAGACCACCATCACGGATCAGAAGAGGAGACCGAGGCCCAGAAGGAACAGCACCGGGACTCGAGACGGAACCACCTCCTGGCAGAGGTAGTCTGGTACACCGTCATCCTCCTCGTGGTCATCGGCCTCATCCTCCGCCTCGTCAAATACTGCGTCGCCCGCATCAGGCTCCAGCGCCGCGACGCATCATCCAGCTCGGCAGCCCAGGACTCCCTCCTCGAGAGGGTCCTGGACCGCCTCTCTGCCTCGCACTGGAGACGACAGCTCCCGTCCTGGATCCCCGCCTCCCTCCCCGTCGGCAAGATCCTCGCCGTCCTCGCCTATGCCGGCCTCGTCACCACCCTCCTCACCTGGAAGTCCATCAAGCACGACGACCGCTACCTCGAGCGCCTCGGCTTCCGCGCCGCCTGGATCACCACCACCCAGACCGCGCTGCCCTTCCTCCTCGCCGCGCGGACGAACCCCATCGGTCTTGTTGTAGGCACCTCGTACAACCACCTCAACTGGCTGCACCGCTGGGCCTCGCGCGTCTTCCTCGCCACGGCGACCGTCCACGGGTCCTTCTTCCTGGCCGAGTGGCTCCCCGCCGACTTCTTCTGGGAGGAGTTGCGCACCGTCGCCATGGTGAAGTGGGGGATCGCGGCCTGGCTCGTCCTTGTTTGGACGCTCGTCAGCTCGCTCATCCCGGTGCGTCGCTGGCGCTACGAGTTCTTCGTCGCCCAGCACATTCTGTCGGCTGTCGCGCTGCTCATCTTCTTACTTCTGCATGTGCCGGGACACCATCTGTTCAGCGTCTGGTGCGCCGTCGCCGTCTTCTTGTACGATGTAGTCACGCGGGCCGCCAACCCCATCTGGAGGAACGTCAAGTTCGGCCGCCTGCCCGCGACGGACGCGGGACTGTCGAGGGTGCCGCGGTACGCCTACTCCGCCAAGCTCGAAGCCGTGGACGAGGACCTCACGTCGATTAGGATCCGGGGGATAGGATTCAAATGGACGCCCGGGCAGCACGTGCTGATCTGGACGCCGAGCATGAAGAGGCAGTCTCCCCACCCGTTCACGATCGCCAACGTCGCCGACCCGACTAAGTCAACGCAGGACATCCACCTACTGGCGAAGACAAAGACGGGGTTCACGAAGCATCTGAACGAGTGGGCCAGCGGGCTGGGAGGGTCGATGCGCGAGAGCGAGCTGAGGGTGCTCCTGGCCGGGCCGTACGGCAACCTGCCCAACTGGCGGCAGTTTGACAACCTGGTTCTCGTGGCGTCGTCCACGGGCGGGTCATTCACGACGCCCATCCTGGAGGATATACTGACGGCGCAGAATCCCGGGTGTGTGCGGAAGATCACCGCTCTCTACGTGGTCAGGCGTCGACCCCAGGCCAATGCGTACATCAAGCAGGTGGCCAAGGCGCTGTCCGCCGCCAAGGAGCTCGGGATCGATGTGCGGGTCGAGGTTGCTACGACGGGTAGTAAGGCTGGCGGCGGCGGTAGTCGCTCCGCGTTAGGCCGCCTCCCGAAGGGGAGAAACAGTCAGGAGAGGCTCATGGCTAGAGATGATGAGGAAGAGGAGGGAGAGGCGCTGGCAGATTTGGCCCGTTTGTCTACTGACAGCCTGAGGTTGGAGGACGCAGAGCTGAAGGAAGATATGGATCTGGAGGCAGAGCTGCACGGTGATGAGGAAGAAGAGATGGTCAACATCGATATTGGGCCGATACTGGAGACAGAGGGCAGGCCGAACATTGAAGGCTTTGTGCGGAGGGCTATTGAAACCTCGGTTGGCAGGATGGCTGTGGTGGTCTGTGGCGGCACGCCGGTGGAAACCGCTGTGAGGCAATCCGTTGTGGCTACGCAGAGGACCTCGAAGCTGGAGGAGAGTAGCCGGGAGGTGTTCCTTCATGTTGAGCGTGATGAGTCGTGATTTTATTCGTCTACTTAGCGATCTATAGATGCGAGACCTGCATATTAAGAGGAAATATATACATAATCTACAATAATACATAGGTTTGAAAACTGGCTGACAAGCAAAAGAACGCGTCTTGTTTCAATGACATGACTTTCCATACTTGCGTAATCTATGGTAATTATAGGGAAGGGGTGTCAGAAACCCTGCGGCAATAGAGAGTAGGGCGGCTGCCCAGAACGCCGGATTGTCGAATTGCACGACACCTCCGGTCATGCTGTAGTCGACAGCGTTCTCGGCAAGCTCCATGGTCAGCATGGAGATCATGCTCATGCCTGCCGCCGTCTTGGTGGCGATGATCCACGGTAGACGGTCCTTTCCATAGCGAAGGAGAACCGTCTCGAGGAGCAATGATGTAGAGATACCGCTGGCCACTGTTCAGGATTAGCATCAGGTCAGAGAGTCGGGAATGCGGGGGCTGGCTTACTGGAGATGGCCATGATGGCCTGCATGCCCAGATCTGGGTGGAATGCCTGGAGATACCACATGGCAGAGAAGTCACCCGCCGTACAGCCAACGAGGCATCGCAGGGTGTTGACGCCAGCCCGTTTCCATGTCGCCCTGGAGCTCCAAAAGTCGAGACTCAGCGCCGAAGGAGTAGGGGCTTTGGCTGATTTGCAGGTAGAGGTAGCTGCTGTGCTTTTGCAGGAAGAGGAGGGTACTGGTACTGTGCTTTTGCTACATTTCGGGCGGGATTGGCAAGACAGGATCGCTGGTACCGGGTTCCTTGACAGGCTGGGGGATATGGGCGAACGCGGGTATGAGGCTGAAAGAACGTGCCGCGAGAGAGTGGACCGTGAGGTGCGAAAGAGGTGCGCCATGATCGTGTGTTCAATTGTGGTGAGTCCTCAATCCGGCGATAATCAAATGGGATCAAACATCGAGGGCGAGGAGGTTGGTTTCTGAAAGTGATGAAGTTCGTCAGCAGCCAATGGCAGTATTACCGCAAACTTTCTCATCTCATCAGTGTGACTGGAAAGCAACCCCGCGGGACAATACAAGGCCGATCGCCGAGCTGTGGCGGATGCAGTGCGCTATGATCCCCGCCAGTGGACTCCGTTAGGAACCTCCACCACTTCTACAGCGCACTACCCCGCTAAAGGCAGCGATATGCTTATTTTAGCTTCCATCAGCTTGAACAGACAACTTCGAAAATGATCAATGAACATCTTTCCTCGCCTCCCCTCAACCCAGAAGCATGACCAGCCTCAAGGAAATAGAATACCTCCGCCAAGCAATCGCCCTCGCCCGGGAAGCCCTCGAGGCCGGCGACGACCCCTTCGGCTCCGTCCTCGTCGATCCCACCACCGACCAGGTCCTCCAAGCCGACCGCAACCGCACCGTCACGGGCGCCCAGGACCTGAGCTCGCCAGAGGCAGGCAAGCCCGATGCCACGTTGCACCCCGAGCTCACCCTCGCGCGCTGGGCCCAGCTCAACCTCAGCGCCGAGCAGCGCGCCAGGGCGGTGATGTACACGTCCGGCGAGCACTGCGCCATGTGCGCCGCCGCCCACGCCTACTGCGGGCTGGGCCGTATCGTGTACGCGACCTCGACGGAGCAGTACGGTCAATGGAGGAGAGAGAACGGCGTGGCGGGGGGCAAGGTCGCTCCCCTGAGTATTCGAGAGGTCGCGCCTGGTGTCGCGGTTGAGGGACCTGTGCTTGAGTTGGCGGACGAGGTCAGGGCGCTTCACGTGCAGAGGTGGGCTGCGAAGAGAAAGTGAATGGGGGATTACTCCGTACGCGAGGGGTGTTTTATTTGTTCAGGTTTCGAAGAAGGCGCACGGGATAGATAGGAGGGCTTTGTCCGTCTTTCTTTTAAACAAAGCCTTTTGTCTGTTTGTCAATGTGATGCTCTCATTGTCTCGTGTCAGTCACGTATTCTGGGAGGAGTGATTGTCTGGCGACAGCTAGACTGTCACAGAGTCACTGACAATCAGCCTAGGCTTGAAATAAAGGCGTCTGGCAAAGAGCTGCTTCGGCTGAGGGATTGCTGTTACTTGCTCTATGTTGTTCCAATTCTCAGTGGTCCATGTTACTCAGTCACCCGCTCCATCTATTTTAAGCAGTGCGAGGAGCCAACGAACCCTCTCCCGACATTCCAGCCCATCTATAAAGCTGATATTCCCTCCTACCGAAGAGTCTTGACCTCGCTAAGAACGTGACTTCATCCGGCTGGCAACATAGATAATTGACAAAAAACCCACAGGAACCATAATTCCCATAAAGAAGCCATGACATTCCTTCGGCGCCGCTCCTGCAAGCCCTCGGCCCTCGAGATGACATCTGCCCACATTCGACTCACACACTGGCTCAAGCTCAAGCTCCAGGACAAAATATCCGAAAATATCCAGCTCGAGTACGCGGTTAATAGAGACGAGGCCACCACATATATTGCCCTGCAGAGAGTAAGTGAATGGCACCCTCTCCTCAGCCGCGCGAACACTCCCTGGTTTGTATACGATGACCACCTTCTCGCCGCGATCAAGGAATGTCCCTGGGATCTCGATAACCAGCAGATTGCGATTCTCCTCGGGCGGACCACCGAAGAGATCGAGGATCGGCTAAACCACTACGACATGGTTATGGCGAGAGAGACCGCCAAGTTGCACTGGTGGCCGATGCGGAAGCACGCCTGGATGGCCAAGAATGCTGAGAGGGAGCTGGCCCAGCTGAAGCACACATTTGCGCTGCATCTTTGGAGCTCGAGTGTCAAAGGTTGCCCGACCGGCTACGTAATTCCTCCCTGGGCTGATACTGAAGAGGCGGTGCTGGAGTGCGCGGGAATATATCTACATAAAAAAAAACCATTTTACAGAGATATCTGACATAGGAGATACCCAAGAGATACCCAACTAAGAGGTTATGTTTTGCCATTCGTCGGAAGATTGCGGTTTGCTTAGAGTGCCTGAAGTCGATCCAGCAAGGGCTGATCCGCTGGCTTCCCGCATATTTTCAGGCGAAAGAGCTTCCCGCCGATGGAATGGTCTGACCAGCCCGGAATCAGTAAGGACCGCCGCGGAAGAAACAGGCGATATCTTTCCTGAAATGGCAAAGAAACAAATGATTGGTTGGTGATCGGAATTGTTTTCCGACAAGGTCGAACTAAAATGGAGATGAACGGGGCAGATGCCACACCCGAGAGCGAACCAACCCTCATTAAAACAACGACCGATTTCCTTATTTCAGTTGATATACTTACTTTTAACTATTACTTCTATCTTGGCTCTGGCTTTTCATTCTAATCATGTCAATACGAATTTGGAAATCTCAATGAGAACTCGTCTACAGATATCGCTAAGCGTGAGAGATGATTCTTGTAGCCTTCCTGTAGGAAGAGGCCACCGCAACACTTGCTCGTGGGGGCTCTTTTACTGATTTATTACAGGCTAGCTATACTTTGACGAGAACCAACTCCACGTCAGCTGAAGATGGTGCACTCAATGTGTTTGGGAAGACGGCCAGGAAATTAGATAAAGATTAAAAGTCATAGGAACGTGGGTTTTATCTTCCGGATTCACTCTTGTTCGATCTCGTGAATTACTCGATTAAGGGGCTCAACTTCACAGTTCCTAACTAAGGCGCAAGGCACGAAAGGCTCTTCCCTTCAGAGACAAGCATTTCCAAAAGACAACAGGATTAAAATGATGAAACACGTTAATCCCTAGCCGCAAGATCTAACCTCCAATCTGGTTTTAGATGGGAAGATTAAGTTTGCCTCAACCGACTAAGGACAATTCACCTTCGTTCCATTATTAACAAGCTTACTGAGGGCCCTTGCGGCCTGCGGTCGGGTAACTCTACTGAAAACGAGCTGCGTTAGCAAAACAGTAGGGGTCAAATGTTCAGATGAAAGGGGGGACGGGTCTTACTAGATGCCGATGAGGGTGAAGTCGGCCCTCCACCAGCCGCTGTCCTCATCGGGCGTGTACCAGTCGTCGTCCTCGGGCTTCCACCAGCCGTGGTCCTCATCGGACTCCCGGTCGTCGGGCTTCCAGGCTTGCCAGTTGTCGATCATCCCGGCATACCTGTGGATGAGAGCGCGGATGCACATCCCTTTCCAGTCCTCGCAGAACCCCTTCCACTTGATTCTGAATCGGGTTCCTGCACTCGCCTGGGTCGAATGCAGGCACTCGACCACGCCCGGGAGCATCAACGAAGTATTGACTTTGGCCCCGGTGATAGCATAGGATCTCCATTTCTTGTCGATGGACGACATGAATGGGTCTCCGGTCGGGGCATATGCTGCCGCGAGCCAGGGGGATGCCGCCAGAAGCAGGGCAGCGGCCACCTTGCGGATATGCATGCTGTCTTGGATTCGGGACGAAGGGGAAGCAGCTGTGTTTTCCGTTCTGTGCCTACGTTGAGGTTGGGGGATGTTGCTGGTTTCGCACGCGGGCTTCGGAGGCGGTGGTGATGGTGACGATGTAGATGATGGGGTTTGCTTCCAACCGGGATGCGTCGAGAGGTGACCTTGGTGACGCAAATTTCAGAGATCAGAGCGGAACAAGATAGAACGGAGCTTGGTTACAATGAACCAGTGCCGAAGATGAAAATTTGCAAATAAACTGAGTATACAGTGGTAAAAACCTTGTCCAGCATGAAGACCGGCACTTAATACTTCAGTGGGCGATGAAGCGAGAGCAGGGGCAAAAGCCCTAGAAACTTTAATGGCTTGTCTCTCGTATCCTGGGAAATGGAAGAGATTATGTGGGAGATTATGCTCCCAGAGACTCTAACTCTTGAAGACTGAAATTTTAGACATGATACATTTACGCTGCGGTGTATGAGCCGTCTATTCTCCCAGGATGACGCTCCTCTAAAACCCGCGATGGCATTATCATGAGGCTGAAAGCATCTCTCGGTCTAGTACTTCTTTTTGAGAGATAGGGGCTTGGTTTTTTATCTTGATAAACGTCACAGCATTCAAACACCTCCTTTTGCTATGATCGCCTTTCCTGGCATTACCGTTGGCATATCGTTTTTAACAAAGAGTGACCTCGGGAATTTTCTACACTGAAACTTAAATCGTGGTGTTGAGACTGCCCAAGGAACTGATAGATGAAATGGACACTCTGGCAGAGTTTGAGATGTGTTGTTCACGTGTTGCTCAAACTTTGACATTTAGCGGCTGCACTTTGGAGACAAAATATTCTAGCTACGTATTGAACAAATCTAGTATTTCTTCGGGAACAGTATTGAACGGCAACTTTGAAGGCTGCAGTTTGGATTTAGTATGGAGTATAGCAAGCCATGACTATTGGAGGCTGCTGATGCAGATGAGGGTGAGGATGAGCAGGGATATTCATTCAGCCTGTCCATCACGAGGTACTAATCTGATGCTACTGTTTCACGGCGAGGCTACCAACTGCCGGGGTTCAGCTGAGGAATGTGTTTTCATTTTTTATGCTACCTTGGCGTGATCATTTGACAAGGCAGAAGAGGGTGTGCGACTTGGTGGATTTGGATGTATGCGGGTGGGCTCCAGATGCCTCATGATCATTCTCTGTCACGCGCCCAACAAGGCGCAAAACCATGTCGCGATTGAAAATCTAAGACATAGCCACTCCAAATAATAATTTTCAAAATATTAAAACGTTTGGAAGACGCTCTATCACCCATATCAAAATTAAGCCGTTAAGATCATTTTCCACATCATGGCTGTGCCGGACGTGCCCAACTGGGCCAGAGTGTAAGTCAGCCTTCACCACCGACATGCGATAAATCCATCTAACGGAACTTTGTCTCTGAAGTATCCTTCTCATTGCCATTTGGACCTCATTCGGGCCACAGCTGCACCGTCTCAAACGCAAGAGGGAGAGCTCAGGCATTTCCCTCTGGTACATCCTCTTCAACCTCCTCAATGCGACCGAACAGTTCGCCTTCTCTGTTTTCTTCTCCGTGAACGATGAAAACGGGTTGTTCACCCACAAGTCCCAGACGACGGGGGACTGGATAAACCTTGTTCAATTCGCAGGCGTTTTCGTGCTTTGGTTCACCATGTTCGTGATCCCACGTGAAAAGTATTGCTTCCAACTGACTGACAGCATTTCATAGATCCGGTCTGTCTTTGCGCCTCCCTTCTGACGACACCCGCCGCTGGCCGAAAATAACATCATCAACGCTCTTCGGCGTCGCAGTGGCCGCAGTCGTGCCGCTGTTTGTTCCTCGCCCCAACAGTGAGCCAGGGGAGGGCTCGTCCGCCCACGATGTCGCGTCGCTCTTCTCCTTCATCCACTCCAGATTCCTGTTCCCTATCATCACATTGTTGTCCCTTGGTTCTCTGATCCCACAGGTGAGGACGACCCGGTCTCGCCAGCATCGGGGAGCTCTGAGTCTGTCGGGCTTGGCCGTGCAGGGTGTTCTATTCTTGATCGACGCTTTCGCGTGGGTTGGTCGGCTCGAGTTTCCCTGGGACGAGTTTGATGGGTCAGAGTCGAGCTGGAAGGCTCTGCTGGATTGGTACCAGGGTGTTGGCTGGGTGCCTGTCAACAATGGACTTTCTGCTCTTGTGAAGATGCTAATTCTCTCACTCACGATCCGACATTGGTGGCGGAGAGACCGTCGCGAGGAGCGATCGGGTGAAACCGAACCTCTTCTTGCGTAAGTGCGGGCTCCAAAGAGACAGGTTCTTTGTTGGGTGGATGATCGGTCACCGTTATCCTAGGCAGTAGTAAGTCTTTGTCAAGCCTAGATCGGAAGAGGGGACAAAGGGGCCTCAGATGAAAGCAATCTAACAGAAGAGTGTTTCATATTCCATAATTACAGTTCTGATTGAAGTTACTTAATTGAAAGCACTAACTTATATAATTTCAATCGTACTAAATCATGACCGTCAAAGCAATTATGTTCGAGAATAGAGGAAGAACAAAGTGTTGAATAGGTTCACAGCCTCGAGGCTTTCGGACTGTCCGTGTACTTACTTCAGATGCCTTATGTACTTAACCTCTAAGTTGTGTAATATATGGGCATATTTTCTCACGCCTGTCGACACAAGCAAGTTGGTGACAAGAGAAATGAGACACCGAATGCGGGAGTGGTCATAGATAGAGTACTTTCCACGATGATACAAGGAATTCAGTTATAAACAATGGAATAAACAGACAATATTTGCCATATTATCTCTTAAATATGTACATTGGTACTCAATAGTTTAACAATACTAATCGTAGACTTGTGAGCTGGATAGGAGCAATGTAGCAGTCTGTTAGCATATAGACAAATCCAGCCTCTCCTGTTTGTGAAGCGTTTTCAGCAGGAGCAAATGAATTGAGAAGCTTCGTTTAATCCCTTAGTCGCTATTATTGATAAGAATCCTTTGCATCTCTCATTTTCATCTGAGCTTCCACAACCCGTCTACACTCTAGTTTGGCAGTCCTACCAAAAAATGTCACTCGATATTGACGAAGTTCATGAGGTGATGTATAACCTTATTTGGTCATGTTCTGAGCGAGATAGTATTGGGTTGTCAGCAGGTTTTAGGTCGGGATGGGCACACATCAAAAGAATCAATAGGGTAAAAAGTGTTAGCGGACAGAGTATGAAAATCCCTTTTATTTAAGTAAATAGCCACCTTATACCTTCACAGAATGGTCATCATCCGTATGCCAACACCAGGAACAAACTAGGGGGCACCTGAACACAATGCACAAATCCCGAGGGATATTCTACATCTGAACTCTCCCACCCGTCCCCTGTGACAATAACCGGCCTTGACTGAGCAGACTGTTGACCTTCTCAAGCACATCAATTTGCTTCTTGGAGACTCTGCAAGGACCTCGGGCATTCTCGAGCCACCGTGACATGTTCTCTTGTTCCGTTAGGATGTCGTAACGGACTAGAATGGCTCTGTCAAGGTGATGTTTGAAAAAGGAAACAACCTCGCTTGCTTCGCGGGTAGCGAATTCAGTAGCCACTCTGAGAATCTCTGCATCATTTACTATGCGGCCCCGCATGCTCGACGCCTTATTACTCGGAATGATGTTCTTCACAAAGTGAAAGTTATCCGCCGACTGAGCCAGCCTCCACCTAACGGATTGAAAGCATGCGATGTCGTTTTCCAGCTTCTCAACCTGTTCCTCCGCGGCGAGGCCAAGCAAAAAGGCCATGTGGCTCAGGGCCTCGACATTTCGATGAGTAGTTTGCTGACGGGAACAACGCGAGTATGTGGTTTCGCCCATGCGCTGAGCCAAAGCTGCAAGTTCGTCGCGCTTCTTCTTGAGCATTGTGATGACCAGGCTGAGTTTCTCGTTGGCCATGTTGGACGGTTGTTTCCAGAGGTCCTGACACTGGCTGAACTTTGAAAATTCTTCTTGCACAGTCCTGTCAGCCATGTGCGTGAGACTTTTCACATGTAGCGCCCAGGGTTCGTGGGCATGGAAGACGAGTTGGGATTGGAGATCGTTGTATGCAGGGCTTGTCATAAATTTCCAGTTACGGCTCAGGAGTAGTGTGGGCTCTGGGAAGACGAGATAGGGGGCGCCATTCTTGTCGTCCGCGGTCCGTCGATGGTTTCCATGATGGTCGAAGTCCTTTGGTATGAGCTCGACGTTTTCAGAATAAGATGGACTCAACTTGGAGGATGAGGGTGAGGGCGTGTATGTTTCGTTGTTGAGAAAAAAGCCGATGATCAAGCCGCAGGCAACAGTTGAGATGAAAAGGATCGTAAGCTTTAAAGTCGCTCGACACAGCAAGGAGCAGACTTTCCGAGCCGAAGAAATAACGTCCTCTACGACGAGCCAGAACCATTCTCTCCAGGCAGGGGGCTCCTCTTCTGGAGAGAAACACCATGAAGGAACATCTCTGGGCAGGAGCCAGTCATCAGGATCCATGATAGGAAGATCGGAATGGAGAGCAGGAAATGTTTACGGGATGAAGAGATGAAGAGATGAACAGTGGAAAAAGGCAATCACGAAGCACGGTTTTCATGTTTATGTATGGGGAATTTCTCCCAAGCTTTAAGTCGAGGAGTAGGTACTTCACTACGAAACATGTGAAAAGGCGTTGTTAGCAAACAACCGCAGGGAACGTGAATCTGCCATGTTCCGTCCAAAGCCACAAGTAACAAACATCTGCGAACAGCAACTAGATGAAATTCAATACTTAATCAGTTATATATACAAGTTGCCATGATTCATGTCTCGAATTATGTTTTCAAGTGTAACAATCAGAACGACAGTGATGCGCTCGAACAGCCGTCAGACTAACCGTCGGTTATACAAGCTGCGAAGAGGACGTAACACGAAGCACTACATCTGATACATGACAAAGCACAGCAGTTGTTCAAATTCTTTTTACAGTGTATTTCAACCTCGTCACTGCTTAGGTACCCAAGTAGGTGAAATAAAACATGGCACACCAAATCTCTTTTCGCGTAAGGTAGAACCTCGTTTTTAACTAAACATGAGAAAAAGAGAATAATCAACTATTCTATAATATTGAGCTTGATATTATATCTTAGCACTAGGTTAATTATTCTGATATTATGTTGTATTTCACCCACTTGGTACCATGTGGTCAATAGTAACTTGGTGGGTGTCAGACCTTCGGGGGCACAATTCCGAACGTCAACCCCACAAGGGCGCATTGCCCCGCGATACGCTATACAAACCAGTAAGAATGAAAGGTCTGGCTTGCAGATCTCGTCGGGTCGTGGCCGTAGTGCCCAAAGGGGCAAGCAACGGCGAAAGCATGCATCGTCGTGGCTCGTGGCAGCTTCATAAGAAGCAGCTCTCCCACCGCCACGGGACGAGCTGACAACTAAAAAATATAGCTCTACGTTCTCTACAGCCTGGGACCATATACCTAGTCGGCCCTAGAGACCTATGGTGAACTGAACAAGACGCTACAAATACTTACCGAAGGCATTGCTCACAAGCCAACCCCGCACAGCGTTCAAAATGCTGCCCAAGGCGGCGACGTCGCGGTTGCTCCCCGCCTCATCGACACTCTCCGTCCAGACTCTCGCGGGCATCTGCTCACGGAAAGCAACCAAGGCCGACTATCCTCTCGCCAGTTCTATTACCAATGATATCCCAATCTACGACCTACCCAAGTTCTCCGGCCTTTCTCCGTCCCAACGCAGTGAGCTCCAGAATGAGTGGTACCAAGTCCTCCTCCACGGCCCAGGCGTCTTTGTCACAGCCGGGCTCTACCGCGACAAAGCGCTCCTGAACGAGGTCAATGGCGTCTACGCGTCAATCATCGAGGCAGAGAAGCGGAACGCCGCAGCAAAGGGCGACCACTTCGCCGCGGGCGGGAAGAACGACCGCATCTGGAACTCGTTCAGCAAGCACGCGCTCGCGGACCCCAAATCATTCGTCGCCTACTACTCCAACCCATATCTCGCCCTCATCTCCTCATCCTGGCTCGGCCCCGGGTACCGCATCACGGCCCAGGTCAACAACGTGAAGCCCGGCGGCAGCCCGCAGGAGTGCCACCGCGACTACCACCTGGGCTTCCAGTCGCAGGCCGCGGCGGCCCAGTACCCGCGGGCGGTGCACCTCTCCAGCCAGTTCCTCACCCTCCAGGGCGGCGTGGCGCACGTGGACGTGCCGCTCGAGACGGGGCCGACGCGGCTGCTCCCCTACAGCCAGACATACGAGGAAGGGTACATGGCGTGGCGCGAGGCCGAGTTCAGGGCGTACTTTGAGGCCAACTACGTGACGGTGCCGATGGCGCAGGGGGACGGGCTGTTCTTCAACCCGGCGCTGTTCCACGCCGCGGGGGCCAACTCGTCGGCGGACGTCAACCGGATGGTGAACCTGCTGCAGGTCAGCAGCGCGTTCGGCAAGACCATGGAGACGATCGAGACGGCGCCGGTGGTGGAGAGGTGCTGGGGGGAGATGGGGAAATTGTACGGCGAGCAGGGCTGGAGCGACGAAGTCGAGGCGCTGGTGGGCGCGGTTGGGGAGGGGTATCCCTTCCCGACCAACTTGGATAGGAACCAGCCTGAGCCTGATGAGCTGACACCGCCGTCTGAGCAGAGAGTCTTGCGCAAGGCATTGAAGAGCGGGTTGAGCAAGGACGAGGTGATGGACGCTCTCTGGGGTCTCCTCGAAAAATCGAAGGCGTAGTCGGATAGTTGATGTAAGACGGCTTGATGTAGATGATGTGATGTTAGACCGTGTTCTTAATTGGTGGATGGGCGAGGACTGTCCAGGGTCAAGTGAGGTCATCGCCAAGTTTAACCTTGGTGCGGGGGATCCAGTCTAGGCCATGGGAGGGGGAGAGATGGTGGTGGTGATCTGGCCCAGATTGGTTGTCTGGTGTGTCGATTTAGCCATGATAGTCTGATCAATGTCGCATCCATGCATCAATATGCCACCACCTGCGTTCAGATTGGCGACACCGAGCTGCCCCTTGCTGAAGCGACGATGTGACGCGGCGAGGGAGATTGAGCTGACGGAGAGTTTGACGCGACACCATCACCCAGCATTTGGGAAGCTGCATGATTCATGTAGTCGCGTCGAACCGAGAGGCACCAGTCAGCCAGACATTCTAGAAGGAATGGAGCGAGGGGCTGTTGATAGCCGTGGCAGAGGCAGTGGCAGCGCGGGAGGAGACATCCAGTGGTGGGGTCAGCCCGCTGTAAGGTGAAGGCTACAGCGTTGTTCAGCGAGTCCCACTTCGAACCGCCGGCCGCCAGACTCGGTCCAAGGGAAGCCCGGTTCCCACATCACGCTCTGTTTGGCCAGACAATACCGAAGCAAGACCAGCATTCCCGGCTATTCGTCACGGCCGATGGGCCTTGAACGGTCTCGAGAGGGGCACGCAGAGTCTTTCTTGGCTCTGCTTGTATAGCCGGGCCTCGTGATTCGCGAATTCGCTTCCCCATCTTTGACCCCAGGCCCAAGTACCTGCTAGCTGAGCCGCCTCAGTCGCCGCCGGTGAGAAGTGTGCCTGCTACTCCGGAAAAGACAAGGATGGCCAGTCTGGACTATCTAGAAGATGCGGAGTGCATGCAGACGCCAGGAGGCCCAATAAGACGTATGTCCAACCACATACACAGACATACATGAGGGCTGGTGCTAGATGCGATGCTACCTGTGTACCTCCGGCTGCCCTGAGACAGCTCCGTCCGCTACGTGCAGGGCTCCAACGCCGACGACGTAATGGCCAAGACCCTGAAGCCCAGGCCGGAGGTACCTGTGAGCCAAGTACCCCCACCCACTATTCGGGATCCGAATCTCCGCCAGATGGGCCTAGAGCAGCGCAAACAGCCAGTGCAGCTACAGTAGCAGAGGCTAGAGCACCTAAACTTCGCTCCACCTCAATCGTGGGTCCCGCCTGCATTTGCATGTCATGGGCACCACCTTTATTAACAGCTCCCCCGGCATGTCGTCTGATCGTGAACTTTGTGTGCGGCCTGAGAAATCCCTCTCCCTTCTCTCCTTTCTTCTCTCCATCCTCTCCCACGAACCTGCGATCGCCAGTCTTCGTTGCCCCCCGCTGTCTGCAGCCCTTCCTCCCACTCTCCGCTCTCGCTCCCGACGCACACAATGGCCTCTCCCATCGCCTCGGCCGCCTTGAAGGCCCGCCTTCGCTCGCCCAGCCTGCTCAAGAAGGTCTGCAAGCCCGAGGACCTGCTGCACCACTTCCCCAATGGCGCCTACATTGGCTGGTCCGGATTCACCGGCGTTGGATATCCCAAGTGAGTCTCCCGCCCTTCTCTCTCCCCGCAGAGCTTCCCAGCGCGCCGCCAAGTTTTGGGGCCGTCTCTGCCCTTCCCCTCGCTGCAACGTATCATCGCAATTGCTGACCCTTCTTGTGCAACCCTGCAGGAAAGTTCCCACCTTCCTGGCCGATTACGTCGAGCAGAACAACCTCCAGGGCAAGCTCAAGTACAACCTCTTCGTCAGTGCCTCGTCTGGTGTCGAGACCGAGAACCGCTGGGCGGAGCTGGACATGATCCAGAGGCGAAGCCCCCACCAAGTCGGCAAGGCCATCTCCAAGGGAATCAACGAGGGTCGCATCGACTTTTTCGACAAGCACTTGTCCATGTTCCCTCTTGATCTTCTCTACGTAAGCCAGAGCCCTTCTTTTTGCGACTGCGTCGCCAATTGATCGTCGCAATTGGTATTCCCAGCGCGCCTGTTTGTCCACGAATTGACACTTTTTTTCCAGGGTTACTACAGCAAGGAGCGTGGCGGCGGTCTGGATGTCGCCGTTATTGAAGCGACTGACGTCAAGGAGGACGGCAGCGTCATTCTCGGTGCCTCTGTCGGTGCCTCACCAGAGATTGTCCAAGCTGCCGACAAGGTCATCATTGAGGTCAACACCTCTCTGCCCTCCTTCGAGGGTCTCCACGACATCACCATCACAGAGCTCCCCCCTCACCGCAAGCCCTACCAAATTACCGGCGTCCAGGACCGCATTGGTTCTACTTCTCTGCCCATCCCTCCTGAGAAGATCATTGGCATCGTCGAGGCTGACTACCGCGACATGACTGGCCCCAACACGGATGCCGACGAGACCTCTGTTCGCATTGCCAACCACCTAATTGAGTTCTTCGAGCACGAGGTCAAGCACGGCCGTCTCCCCGAGAACCTGCTACCTCTCCAGTCCGGCATTGGCAACGTTGCCAACGCCATCATTGGTGGTCTTGACAAGTCCAACTTCAAGAACCTCACCGTCTGGACCGAGGTCATCCAGGACACCTTCCTGGACCTCTTCGACTCTGGCAAGCTCGACTTCGCCACTGCCACCTCGGTCCGCTTCTCCCCCGACGGTTTCAAGCGCTTCTACGACAACTGGGACAAGTACCACTCCAAGATCCTCCTCCGCAACCAGGAGGTCTCCAACTCTCCCGAGGTCATCCGCCGTCTCGGTATCATCGGCATGAACACCCCCGTCGAGGTCGACATCTACGCCCACGCCAACTCTACCTGCGTCAACGGCTCCCGCATGCTCAACGGCCTCGGTGGCTCCGCAGACTTCCTGCGCTCCTCCAAGTACTCCATCATGCACACTCCCTCGACCCGCCCCTCCAAGACCGACCCCCACGGTGTCTCGTGCATCGTGCCCATGTGCACCCACGTCGACCAGACCGAGCACGACCTCGACGTCATCGTGACTGAGAACGGTCTTGCCGATGTGCGTGGCCTGGCTCCCCGCCAGCGCGCCCGCGAGATCATCAAGAAGTGCGCCCACCCTCTGTACCAGCCCATCCTCACCCACTACTACGAGAAGGCCGAGAGCGAGTGCCTGCGCAAGGGCATGGGCCACGAGCCCCACCTCCTCTTCAACAGCTTCGACCTTCACAAGGCCCTCCAGGAGCAGGGCAGCATGTTGAAGGTCAACAAGTGGTAAGAGGCATGAATGACTAAATGAAAGAGAAGGAACAATGGCGAAAAGGGTCAATGATGCGGATGGGAGATTTTTTAGGGATGGCAAGGGGGAGAAAGGACACCGCGTTGCATGTGACTATGGCGAACCACTTTTGCGTAGTATTTTTTTGTTCAGCATTTTTTAATGGGATTTCTTTTTGTGCTCTCTCCCTGTTGTCAGTTCTCTCGATTGTCCCATCTGCCTACCTGTTTCTATATTTGGAGCAATTCTGTATATAAGTAGAATGTAGAGATGATACAGGCATTTACACCACGCAGCAATGGCAATCTTTGTTGACAGACTCACACTGGCAATTGGCGGTATGTCGGAGCAGATCGCACGAGAATCTGGTGATGGCGTCATTTTCGGGTGATTAAGAGCCGTCGGAATTTGACAACAGCCCACTTGCGATAAGGAACAGGGATGATCCCCCTCTTTAATTTGCTAGCGTCCCCTCCCATGCTCACGATGGGAGACGGGAGGACTGTTAGGCCATGTGGAATGATTCAGTGAGCTGGGGTGAGGCATCATCGTGAGATGTTAATTACACAAATGAGAATATGTCGATATAGTATACACTGTTCTACCCAAATATATATAGAAGAAACCTTGAGCAAAGCCAAGATAATACAACGAGAAGACAACAAGAACACCACAGTCAACGCCCATCCTCATCCACTCAAGGCGCCTGATTATCATCATCGTTCAGTACATCATGAGGGTTGAATATTGCGAACTCATTCGCCAGATCCTCCTCGTGCCGCCTGTTGGCGCCCCCGATGGCCTCATCGCGCAGCCTCATCGCCTCCGCCCTCAGCCCCCATAGCAACGTCCACGCCCTCCTCATCGTCTCGACGTCCGAGTCCACGGCGAAAGACGCGATGAGCCGCATGCGGAACTGCTGCCTGTTCTCACGCGCCAACCCCACAGAGTGTCCGTACAGCTTTAGGTTGCCGTCCTGAAACGTGGCCGAGAAGGCGAGCATCTCCATCTCGTTACGATCCCGGCGGCGGAGCGCACCGTCCTCGTCGGCGTGCCTGCGCAGGGTGTAGATGGCCCTCGCGCCGTACGCGCCGAGCTCGCGGGCCTTGTTCCTCAGGATCGCGGACGGCTCCCAGGGTGTGGCGGTCTCGAGGAAGAAGTTGGGGGCGATGGGGCCCTCCGAGTCGGTGCTCGGGTCGACGAGCTGGGCGAGCTGGCGGTGCAAGTCCTGGAGGAGGTAGGTTACGTCGGCGCCGTCGCAGAACTGGGCCACGGCGGGCAAGGTGTCCCCGTTTGTCATTGACGCCTGGGGGCTGAACTCGAGGTTTCGCCTCACCTGGACGGATGGGTTGGCGTCGGTGAACCTCCGGAGGCAGAAGTACTGGGAGAAGTCGTCGAAGACGTTGCCGGGCAGGTGGGACGCGCCGAGGGGGCGGAAGCGCAGAAAGGCCTGGGGGGATGGGGGCGTGTGAGGCACGACGGTCTCGGTCAGGGTGTTTCTGACCCAGGCCTCCATCCAGTGCAGGTCGTGGGTTGTCTCTCGCAGCTGTGATAACACCTCCCCGAGAGGCTGGATGCTGTACGAGGTGAGGATATCCTGGAAAGAAATGCTGGGCGGTCCAACTGGGCCGATTTCTTCGACTAGACCGTTTTCTTCAACTGGACCGTTTCCTTCAATTGGGCCGTTTCCTCCAGCTTGGCCGTTTCCTCCAGCTTGGCCGTTTCCTCCAGCTTGGCCGTTTCCTCCAGCTGGGGCGCCTCCTCCAACTGGGTCGCTTGGAGGCGTTTCCTGAGAGTCGGGAAGCTCGTTGTAATGTGTACCTGGGCCTACTCCAAGGGAGAAGCTTCGGGGCTTTTCCCGAGAGTTGGATTCGTCGTTGTCCTGTGACCGAATGGCGTGTCAGTGGTGACGAGGACGAGGGAAGAGTGGGAAGGTGGTGTGAGAGGGGAATGGTCAGGGGAAGCCACTTACAAATCGTAGATCGCTAAGATCCGGACCTCCATGTCGAGCAAACCTCTCGAGGGTGGGCAGGGGACCGTCTGGGAGCTCAAAGGTGTCCCATTTCCTACTTCGAAATTTCTCTTCGAAGCGTTCCAGGACCTCCTCGGTGAGCACTATATCTTTAGTGAGCTCCACCTCTTCGACTGGCGGAGTGGCCATGGTGGTGAGATATATCTATCTCTTTAGTTGTGTATTCTATATTTTAGGGATTATTTGCAGCAGTTGTCTGGTGCTACCTGACAACAGGGTATGGATGGAATTGAATTAAAAGATAATCTGGGGATACCAGCCGAGAAGAGCTGGCCGTCGACTCCATGTTAAATACCCCGGGATCCGAGAATAGAGACGCATTGGCTCCTCGTGATGTAGAGAATAGACGTCGAAAGTTGAACAGACGTCGACCATAGACGTCGAAAACAAAAGTCGAGCCTAATTGAGTCCAGCTTTGTTCGTCACAGTTCCTCTATGCCAGCTATGTTCCCAATCTCAATTATAAACTTGATCGAAGAAAGAGCCGCTTGTTTGTTCTTTCGCGCACACAAAGCCCAGCAATGATTGGTGCGAGGAACAAGGCGCCTTTGTGTATGGGAACTGGGCACTTTAAGCTATCCAGGGGGTGGCTGATCGTGGAATAGATACTGTTGTCGATTGAATAGCCAGAGAAGTAGACGGATTAGCCATAAATTGTTGATCTCTAGTAGATGGAGAAATGTCTGGCTCTTCAAGCTTCTCCAAGTATCCTCACGACGAACTTTCAATTGCGACAGCCAAGGTATCAAGATCTCGCTACGATCTGCTTGAACAGTAAACAATGGCGGCAAGTATCTCGGCCCATTCCATCTCAACTTCTTTCGATGAGCCCAGTCTAACCCCAGTCCTCAACCCAGGAAAACCAGGAAAACCAGGAAAGCCAGCAGAACCAGGGAGCCCAGGAGGACCAGCAGGACCAGCTGATTCAGCAGGACCAACAGATTCAGCAGAATCAGGAGAATCAGGAGATCCCGGATAATAAGGAGACCCAGGAAATTACAATCGCCAACGGAAGGTTCCGAATCGACTACAAGATTGCTTCCGGGGGCTACAGCCGCGTGTACGCAGGTGAGTAAACATGCTTCGCACCTCGGCTACGCACGTAGATCCTCCTAAGCGACAGAAACTGACACGCAACTCCCAAGGCACCGACAAGAAAACCAATCAACAAGTGGCTATCAAGCTTGAGGAGGTCGACCAAGAGGTCAGCTCCCCGTCCCGCAGGCAGGAAACCGTAAAGCTTGAGGGTCGGCTGTACCGCAAGCTCCCTCTTCACGGCTACCCCAAACTGCATTGGACCGGCAGGACCAGAGGCGGGCTGTACGATGTCCTGGTGACAGACCTGCTCGGCCCGTCGTTGTGGAATCTGTTCGAGTACTGCGGCGAACGCTTCAGTCTAGATACTCTTTGCAATATCGCCATCCAGGCGCTCAAGCGCCTACAAGGTCTTCATAAGGCCGGTATCATTCACAACGATATTAAGCCGATGAACTTCGCCATTGGGTCTGGCAAGAGCGGCAACACGCTCTATCTTATTGATCTTGGACTTTCCTCGACTTGGGAAGAGATCAAGGACAAGGATGGGGTGAAACAGAGAGGCGGCCTGCTGGGGACATCGTACTACGCACCTCTAGAAGCTCTGTGGGGAAGAGGTATGACACCCAGCGCTTAGAGCGCTTAATGAGAGTGCGAGAATAAAAGGGGGGGACGTGCTGACAGTTTTTCCGTAGCGAGATCATACCGAGACGACCTCACGTCCCTGGGGCTCACTCTTGTCGAGCTGTCCAAGGGTAAGTTGCCGTGGGGGGATGCGAATGGCTCCCTGTGCCTGGGCAAGCGGGAGAAGATCACGCTGGACGAGCTTTGTTCCGGGCTGCCGCAGGTTCAGTTCCTTATGGAGCATGCAAAGCAGTTGCGCTTCGATCAACTGCCAAATTACGGCCTACTGATCAAAAAGTTCGAAAAGGCGCTCTCCGATTCTGGATCGGGGCGGACCTGTATCTTTGATTGGGTCAAGGTCAGGTATCGGCGGATGCAGAGGAAGATGGAGGAGCGGGCGGCTGGTCTAGAGAACAGAAGGCGTTCTCGGGACGAAGATGATGATGGCGAGGAAGAGGGACCTCCCCGGAGCCGGCCCCGGCAGCAATAGTCTCACGGTATTTATGGCATCGATAATTAGCAAGCGGTAATTTGTATATGGAAAATTGAATTTGGCTATGAATTGGTAGCAGCGCTATGATCATGAGTATCGTATCCAAAGGTGCCCATCCAAGGCACCCATCTGGCCAAGTACCTTATATAATACCGTCAAACTTCTCGGGGGGCTTATATTGCCCATGGGAGCAGTGAGCTAAGCGGCGGGGCTGAGCTCCATAAGCTCCTTGCCCTGCTCAACATCAGCGTAGGTGTACGCCTTGGACTCGGGGGGGAAGGTGCCATCAGCAGCCCAGAGGTCGATGAGAGGCTTCATGGGCTCGATGTCCTCCAGCTTCAAGAGGTCGAGGGTGGTGGCGGTGAGGATGAAGTGGCTGAAGCAGCTGTTGAGAGACTTCTCGAGGTTGAGGTGGTAGAATGGCTCTATGAAGTGGTCCCAGAACAGGTGGGCGTAGACCCGGAACATTTGAAGGAAGATGGTGCGGCAGATGCCGAGGAACTCCTTAGGGAAACCAGAGCGTCGACCGACCCAGTCATCCTCGGCGGGTGCGGATTCCGCGGCGTAGGAGACGCCCGCTGGGTCGGTGGGGAAGACGTTGATGTCGTCGACCTTGCCGGCGATCCATCGCTGCATGAGAGTGATGTACTCGTACGCTGGGAGCTCAACGGCTTCGTGGTTCTTGTTCAACCAAGTGTACGAGTGATTCCTGCTTACCTGTTAGAGGTCTAGAGGCATAACGACAGAGGTTTCACGACAAATCTCAATCAGGCAGAATATAGGAGCACTCACTTTCCTGCGGACATCTTAGGGCAGGTTGTGCGGTTGCAGATGGTCTTGCCGTCATCGTCCTTCTCGTGGATGACACGGACAAAGTTCCAGAGCACACGATAGTGTTCAACCACTAGGTGAGAGAGTCAATATGCGGCCAAGCAGGTACGCAGTAGGCAGCGAGATTGACGAACCTTGATGAGCGATCCACTCGCCTGGCTCAACCGTCTTCGGCCGAGCGCTGAGGGTCATGAAGTTCCCCTTGACAATGTGCTTGGCCGAAGCACGGTTCAGCCAGGCGGGCAGAGGCCTGGGCCAGCTCGAGACTGGCCCATCGATCGATGACGATGCCGTGGTCGCTGGGCCTGGAGGTGGCGGAGCGGAGGGCGGTTGAGAAGGCCCCTCTGGCCCAGGACCGGGGCTTCTGCCAGTGCGCCCCGCGCCCCTGAAGCGAGCGTTGCTGAGAGAAAAGGAGTCAGCGAGCCCAAAGCGGCGGTGCAGGTGCGGCGGGCGGCCTGGGTGCACGGGGAGGGCAGGACTCACATTCCCGAGAGTAGGCTGGACATGTCCGGATCGGTGTTGCAACCTCACGTCAGTTGGTACGGTTCCAGACGGGAAGGCTGCAGGAGGTACGTCGATTCTTTCGAAGGAATGGCGGGGGTAGTTTGAAAACGACACGCTTCGAGGTGGGTTCTGGACCCGATGCCCCGCCACAGTCGAGATTGTGGCTGGTGTGTGGCTTGTCGACATCAGGAGAAAAAGGAGAATGGGGCTCCGATTGATGATCACGTGATACCCCTCTTCTCGTCTCCCACCCGCAGCGCCAACACATCATGTCCGCGACGCCGCCACCGACCATCGTGGCAGTCAAACGACTCATCTATTCCCATTTCTCTTTATATTTTCTTCCCAGCTACTAATCAATGTACGCTACAATGGCCCATGATCGCTTACCACGGCAGACCTGATGCCGTACACCGTTCTCACTGCATTGGCCATGCTTCCAGCCATTTCGCTAAGGTTTCGTGGGAAAAGATGGCTTATAGTTTCTTCCTCTCCAATGAAACCTTTGTGACCTAAGGCAGCTGCTCTTTGCAAGCATGTCTCATTATGGTAGACTGCCTTTCAACCGCTAAGTTCTCCGGTTTTTGAAAACCAGTCCTTGCGCCTTTGATAAACCCACGATAACTACGTACCTTTCCAAGCGTCATAGCCATCAAATAGACTCAATCCTCTCTAGCACTTCTGATATCGGTGAAATTTACGGTTGTGAGTGAAATGATAGGCAATCTTTACGTGATCTTCCTCGCGAAATATTCGGATCTAGGCCCCAAAACCAGACAGACCTACGCAAAAGAGAGCCCAACAACCACCCCAATACACACCCTGTACACAACAAACACCCATTAAACACACAAGATCAGACAAATATCCGCATAATCCCCCTCTTTCCCGCCCTTTTTCTCGCTAGCCACTCCTCTCTCAGAGCGTGTATTTAATCTCAGACCCCTCACAATCCCGACTCTTCCACCCTCTCACCTCCTTCATACATCCCTCGTTAACCTGAAAACTCCCACCCTCTCTATTTCCAACTCTTCAAACGCAACGCCTTCAACAAGAGATACAAATCCAATTCGAAATGTCGCAGGAACCCGAAGACATTCAGCTCACGGCCGAACAAGCAAATCAAGAATTCCACCAATCTATCATCAACTTCATCCATCCGCGGGCGAAGAGGCTCCCGCATCTTTACAACCAAATCGTTCAAATCCTAGAACGCTACAAGCCTTCCTCTGCACGAACTTGGTCAGCCCATCACATAAGCAAACGGTTCCAGAGATTTTTCGACTCGACGGAAGAAGAGGCCAAACCAGAATTGGCATTCTATCTCGCAGCAAAAGCAGCGAGAGCGGTCTTGGGCCATCGTGACGGTGACCTCTACGCCCAACACGTATCCAGAAGATATCTTGACGAGTGGGCCGAGGAGCAGCTACGCGCAATGGCTGCTGAGAACCAAGGCTCTCCCAAGCCGACCGAGGGAGGTGGTGCCAAGGAGTCACCGAAGCTGAAGATCGAGCCGATTGAATGGCCTCTGAGCGACGTCTCCCAACATGAGAAGGCCGAAGATAACGATTCTGAGCCTCTTGCGGCGCCTGCTCCGCAGCCCATTGTGCGCCCCAAAATTGAGACCCCAAGGCACGCAACGCCTCTGCAGCGCGACCTCTTACGGCCGCTGTCCACCCAGGGCAAAAGGCAAACCAGTCGCTCTGGGATGTCCAGGCCCAAACGGCCTAGAATGGTCGATGAGGGCTGCTTGGCCAAGGTTAACTACCGGGACTCGGGAACTCAGACGGACGATTATGAGAAAGACAAGGCACGCAGCAAGTCTCCAGACTTGAAATCGGATATCGAAGCGTTGGTTGACGCTGCCATCGCTCGACGCAGCACAAACAGCCAGGAAAAGGCACTCTCCTCCATGGTTAATTCCAGAATGGCACTCGTCCAGGACACGCTTCCCGGACGGATGATTACCGAATTGTCTCCCTCGCCTGCCATGCAGTATCCAACAGAGAGCGTGAGTGCCTATGGGAGGGTCATCCCGCCTCCTAGACGACCGGAACCGGGGTACATGCCTCAGGACATGTGGGATGGGGGTCATGGTCGGGGTCCGAGAGGAGATCCTTATGGGTATCCTGGGCCGGAGTACGGCTCTATGATGGACACGATGTGGGCGTTTGGCAGGGTCGGCTACCGTCGCTGATGAGAAAACGTTTCGGCACACGGGCTATTTGTAAATTACAAAAGACCCAGGGACTTGTGCGTTTGATTTTTATTTTATTGCTTATTTGGTAGTTGAATGGGCAGCATTTCAAGTTTCAGTTACGCTCGGCGTTTAGTTTCGAGCATCGTTTAAAGGCCTAGTTACAGGGCAGCGGCGCAAAAGTATTTACTCTAACAAGAGACTCACGGATGAGATTATGCAAAGACTTGCAGAAGTATGCCATCGGCATCTACTTATTTTAATTTGAGGAACCCCGCATATTGACAGGCCGGGAGCGAAGAAATGGAATTTTAAGATTAATCAAGTACTCAGTTACCGAAATGGTTTGAATCTATTCCTCCTGCAACCACTACGTGATGGGAAGAAATTTGTCTGAGAGCTTCCACTTGGACGGGTGATTACTAGCCTTTCATGTTCGTTGAATCAAGACGTGTGAGGTTTTGCTCAAGCATGCACAGAGACTCGCAGTGCTATTAAAACACTAAGTCGGAATGAAAGCAATATCGGAATGAAAGCTCACCGTAGGGACCTGGTCCCAACAGTGTTGTTAATTTGCGGCGGAAACAACTCCAATTCGTTCAGCAACTATTTTGCATCACTTATGTTGGTATTTCAACACATGTGCCGGTTGTGTGACTGTCAAGGCAGCCACTGGCTCTCACTTCCTAACCTCCGAATTACACATCTAGCCCAGGCTACAGTTCAGAAGAGGTCGCAATAAAGCAGCTAACTATTGCAGAGCCCGTGCCTAAGTAGTGTGGCTAAATAAAGCAGGCGAAACATATCGACTCTGTCAGTTTAATCAGTGTTGTTGCAACTGAGAAGCCCACTTTGGCGATCACCGAATCTCTCGTTACAATCTTCAAACAGGTAGGTACAGTAATCATTGTATTAATAAAACCAGTCTACAGGTTCGTATTCAATGAGGGCTGGAGCTCCTCGTAGCTTGGGGTATCATCGGCGTCATCAGCTTTTGTCGCGTCATTCAAATCCATCATCAACAGGTCGAGATGGAGATCATCATCATCCACATCTTCTCCTTCCTTCTTGCCAGTCTCATCCTTCTTCGAGTTTGGAACCTCAAGGCTATCCCAGGCATCAGCAGTGCGCGCAAAGCCCTGTGGAATCACCAGAGCGTGGCGCTTCTCCAAGTACTCATCCGCATTGTGCATCCCCTCCATCAGAGGGTCGTCGTCCTCCATTTCTCCGGCCTTAACCCAAGACCAGAACTCGGTGTTCTCGGCGGACTCATCTTCTTCAAGGTTCTGATAGTCTCCGTAGTTCTCTTCGTCGTCAGATACCTCGCCCACCTCCTCTACAACGAACCTCTTTCCGGAGGCAGGGCCGTAGCCGTAGGGGAAATACTTTGCTGCCCGCGCATAGACGGCCTCTTTCGCTCGCTGCCTGTCTCCTGGGGCCATTTCGGCCTTACGATCAAGCCCCTTCCACCGATATGACGAATTACCCCAGGTATCCGCACCGGGGAGGAGGTGCTCTGCGTTGTCGGCTCCCCAGTCCAAGTGAATAACATAAACAGGGACGATCTGAGCAGCATCAAAAACAATATACTCCATTCCCCCATTGGCCACATGCGAATCAGCGCCCTCCCATGCCTTGTCCTCAGCCCGCCACTCATCATCTCGGAACATCACACGCGACCGACCCATAATGGTCGCGCAAACGATCAGCTTGAGCCCAGAGAACTCCTTGTTCGAGTCCCGGATCAGCTTCCCGTCGCTATAGCTGAGCGAGAAAGCGGCACTGGGCGACGAGTAGATCCCGCGGCCGTAGGTCGACCCGCAGCGCACCTCCTGCGCTACCCCGACCTCTGGATTGCGCGCGCCGGGAGCCACGAAGCCATGGCGGACGATGCTGGGCACGTACTGGCGCTGGGTGCCGTGGAAGGTCAGGCGGGGCTTGACGAGGTGGTCGACCATGTCTTCGATGCGGTGGCTGCGGAGCTCGACGGGGATGTGGCGCCGGAGCTGGTCGTGAGGGAGGCGGGACAGTTTTCTGCGCAGGCTGCTCTGGAACTGCTCGAAGTCGCGGGCGAGGTCTGTTCGGAGGACCTGCTCGATGTGGACGACGCGGAATTGGCTGGGGATGAGCGCGGCGACCTGCTTGGGAGAGGTGTGTAGTAGGCGGTAGGCCAGCTCCGTAGTTGACGAAGGGACCAGGCTAGCGATATGGACGGGCTGCTTTGCGTTGGGGAGAAACCAGAGGTGTTCGTCTGGTGTGTCGTCGGATGGGGCGTCCTTAGTGAGCTTGAGTGAACGGTACTCAGCGAGGTGGTGCGCCGTTGCCTGTGCGACTTGCAGGATGGCCATGACAGGCTCGAATACGCCGTAGGCATTTCCGTTCTCTCGGTCTTGCCAATTCTTCAGATTGTTGGTCTCCTGGGCGCTGGTCACGATTTGCTTCAATTGACGGCGGAGGACGTCCACGACCTCGCGAGGAAGGCTCATGTTTTCTACATGGCAATCGATATCTCGTACAGGATAGTGTACATGCGAGGTGACGGTGAGGATAAGTTCCTCGAAGGAGAAGATGACCTCGCTGTCGAGAGGCGAGGTGAGACGCAAGTCCTCGCTCAGCAAACCTGCAGAGATGAGGGCATCAGTCTCCTCGTCGCGGAGGAACGCGAGCTGGATCAGCTCGTCTTCGTCGAAATCGGAGGCCATTTTGATTGAGTCCAGTGATAAACTCAATCGTGGTTCACACGGGAGTTCTGATCTTTATGCGTACCGCTGTGGCGCTCTCGGCCAACTGACTCATTTCGACCCA